TACAGTCAGTATCTCCATTTTGCCACTAAGGAAACTGAGGCAGATAAGCGCCATAACCTGAGGGGCAACACAGATTGTAAGTGGCTGTTTTAGGATTCAAAACTGAGCAGTATGACTTGAGAGTAGTTGTCTTAAACGGTACCATTTATTGCCTGTCTTAGAATTTTCCATATGCAAGGATATTCCATCTGCACCAAGACAGTGTGACGTCTAGGACAATAAAATACATTTAGACAATCAGAAATATGAGCAAACAGTTAACATGGTACTTTCAAAGGAGAAGGTACAAAATCACATGTCAGCCAACAAAAAGTGGTCATGTAGTTCCTGACACCTGACAACCCACTTGTTTGGAAAAAAGAAATAAAACAACCAAGGGAAAAACTCTCATGATCCTGAATAACTTCACATTGAGAGAGGTACTCTAGCTGCAGAAGAACTTGATAAAATATGCTACTAGGGTCTAATGACAAAACTATTTTGGGCATTATTAGGAATAATATAGATCTTAGAGAAACCATAATCTTTATATTATATACCCACAGTCACTTATCCTACCTGATATTCCATACAAATGTGAATCATTGAACTTCCAAAAAGGAAAATGAAGGGGCAATATTGCAATCAAGAGTAACTAGAAAGATGAATTATAAGGAAATGCCAGAAAAGAGTATTTATCTATTTTATAATACAGATTAGGAGTATATAGGATTAGAATATGCAAGGTCATCAAAGAATGGGAGAGGGAGCTATAAATACCTTTTTTAAAAATCTTTTTTTAAACGTTTATTAATTACTGAGAGACAGAGAGAGACATAGCATGAGCATGGGAGGGGCAGAGAGAGGGGTAGACACAGAATCTGAAACAGGCTCCAGGCTCTGAGCTGTCAGCACAGAGCCCGACATGGGGCTCGAACTTACAAATTGCGAGATCATGACCTGAGCTGAAGTTGGACGCTTAACCAACTGAGCCACCCAGGCGCCCCTATAGATATATTCAAAGTATCAACCAAGTCAACTTGAACCACACTGAGGGAAGAGAAAAAGAAAAAATGGTAGGACAATTCTGAATACCATTAAGATTTTTGGAGGAGTGTATGTGGGAAGAAATGTTATTTAGAAATTGTAGAAAGATTTTAGCTAGAGTAAAATAAGAATATGTCACAAAAAGATTTCAGGAAGGCCTCTGGAAAGCATATCGTGACAGTTTCCTCATTTATGTGTTGAAGAAATATTTTGCTAGAACCATCCCAACTTCCAAGATTACATATTTAAAATGCTTTCAGACTTGCAGTTCAGGAGATACAAACAATCCCGTTAACTCATATATACAAATTTACAGCTTCTTACTGAAAGTAAGAGATTAATGAGTCAATAAAAAAACACCTCTGACAAAGGCAATAAGACTGAACGATTGGGTAGTCTCCTGGGAGCAAACATAGCATATAGGAACAAATAATAGTGGAGATATTGCACTGTCATGCAAATTTATTAAGAATAAGTAATCTAAGTCAACCATCTCCTTGGCAAATTATCTGAGGAAAACAAAATCTAGTCAATTTAAACTAATACTTTGAATATTAAAAATGGAAGATGTAGGAATTCAGAATTCTAGAAAGAAGTTCATTCTTTTTCTTTTTCTTTTTTTTTTTTTTCCATAAGCCAAAGAAACTTCTTAAGGGAAGAGTTGGGAGTTGCTTGCTTCAGAATTTGTGAGAAGCAAAAGCCTGGAGGAATCGATCTCTGAGCCTCTTGGTTCTTACACCATAGAGATCATTGGGTTCACCATGGGTGGAACAAGGAGGTAGATGTTAGCCACAATGATGTGAATATGAGGAGCCATATGGTGACCAAATCTGTGAGTGAGGAAGGAGAAAAAGGCTAGAGCGTAGGCCACTAAGATCACACACACATGGGATCCACAAGTGCTCAAGGTCTTGAGCCGAGCAACCTTGGATGGAAGACCAAAGACAGTGTAAAGGATGATAACATAGGAACATAGGATTAATATGAAATCTAAACCTCCTGTGAGGAAGGCAGCAGTCAGGTTGTAGATTCTGCACATCCTTGTCTCCGCACAAGCTAGCTAATTCAGAGTCATAAATTCACAGTAAGTGTGAGGGATGATAGTAGTTCTGCAGTAAGGAAGCCAGTGAAGCATGAAGGGTTGAGGACTGAAGAGCAATCTTGGTTCTGAAGCATATTGGACCTTTAAAATTAAGAGAAAATTATAACCACAATGAAGTTCACAATCAGAAACATCAGTGCTTCCACTGAGAATATTAAGGAATCTTCTTTTGTTTGTACGTAGGTGAAGCTGGAGTAGTTGTTTGAGACCTAAGCTTTTTTCTATGACTGTCTCCTTGTTTTATCAAACACAAGGATGAAGTCATCATGGTACACTGTTAATTGATAAAAGAAATGTTCTATGTATTCTGCATAATGTGGTTGCCTAAAACATATCCTTTGTATACATCTCCACATAGTGAAAAGTCTGAAACATTACAAACCAATCTGTTAGCAGAGATTGGGAGTTATACATCCAGGAAGATACAAACAAAATATCACTTCTTTAGAACAACCCTTGTTTTGAAAGAAGTTGTATAACAAACAAGATTATTTTCCTTTTTGAAAAAAAATGTAATGTATCAGTGGTTTCTCACTAATTCTAAGATGTTTTATTTTCATTTTATTCCACTTCAAACTACTTCCTAAGTTTTTTTTTTTTTTTAATTTCTTGAGTCACAGGGTACTTAGAAGAATATTATTATTTTTCAAATATGGGAAGTTGGCTTCAAAGGTAATTGCTATTACTTTGGAATTATCACTGCAGAACACTAATTTTAATAGTTTCATCCCAATGTGGCATTCACTTGTCCAGAAATGTTTCTAAAATGTATTTAAATGGCAATTAAACTGTAAAATAAAAAGGACAGGAGATTGTTTCTTAACTTTCACTTGATTGTCCACTATGCTACATATAACTAGCATATATTAATAAATAATATTAATTTTATGTATTCTAGATTCTTTTTCCAAGGAATGAGAGCTAGAAGAGTGACATTAAAACTTTCTATGCCAGGTCTAATATGACCAAAAGGGTGATCAAGCAAAAAAGTCCATCTTTGATAGGAAATACATAGAAATTTCATGGCTTCTCAGAGCTCTGTTCCTCAACACTTGCTTTGAGTGTAGCTCAGAGAATTAATAGAATTAATACTCCTGAAGCCTGGAGGATGGCAGAGAGAGAGGGGTTGGGGGGGACAATAAATATATCACTCAATTTTGGAGTTAGCAACTACTGAGAATAGGCTGATCTTTCTCTCTGACAATGAATAAGACAACAGACAAAAAAGGAAATCTCAAATTACTTGGTAATGAAATTGTAAATTGGCTAAATATATACAGTTCAATATGTATTTTGAATATTAGTTTTACTTCAGCAAATACAATAGTTTAGAAAGGAGACAGAAGTATGTAAAGGGTAAGTAAAGCACACCCATCATTGTGCAATTAAATTTGCTTTCCAGAGCAGCTCTTCAAAGAAAGAGTAAATCAAGTTCAAAATACAGTCTTATGAAATTGTAAAATATAAGAACATTGTCATCTGGATGGCCAATTCCGATTTTTAGTTTGTAGTAAAATCATAGACTTCTTTGGTTTTATTATATAAATGATAAAAAAGAGAAATAAATAAAGAAGTATTAAATTGAGAATTTCAAAATAACACCAACAATAATCTCTAGAAAAATAGGAATAAGAAAATAAGGAAAGTTTTTAAAAAGTGGAATCTGGCAGGACAGTTAAAAAAAATAAGAGCATACTATTTAAAACAGTGCAAAATCTGATAAGATTCTATCAAAATTAAGAAAAACTAAATGGATAATTAAGCACATTTACAAATGCAAAGTAGCAATTAAAATATTTACCATGAAATTACACATAACATTTCATGTTAGAGAATTATTTGGCCCACTAGCTCTGCTGCCAGGAGGTTATTCTTTTGTGTAGATTATCTTTCCATACTCATCAACCCTTGGTCTCACCATTTTTTGGTCTTCTTTTTCTTCTGGAGACTTAGTGATGAGGGTCTGAATGAGCAATTCAGATGCCCTTAGAGTTTTTTGTAGTAAGGTGTAAGAACATGAAGTAGGCAGGCAGCCTGGATTCTATTTGGGACATTGTCATCTAGTCCATTTCCCCAGAAGCCACATGGTACAATACTTGCTTGGAATAGTTTTCTCTGTGTCACTGTGGCACTATAGGAACTGACTTTTTTTCAATAGATCACAAAGTCCCTGCTTCTCACTTCAACAATAATTATGTACTGCAGATATGACATATGCAGGTAGCCTTCCTGAGGGTACAGAATTGGATAAAGAGAGTAAACTGATACAACCCCTCTCTTTCCAGGTGTTTCTGTATCACAGCCTAGAATTCTTCACTATCAGATCTTTGATTAAAAAAATTTTAAATAACTTGGGTTATCCTTGATTCTGTTGTACATAACAATGTTGATGTCTATGCTTTGCCCTAGGATTTGACTAAATAGGAGGTCAAGGGGCTGCTACTTTTATGTCTTTTGTTTTCACTGCCATTATTTATCCTCAGAAAACCTCAGCTGGGTTGTCTGCCTTTCCTAGAGACAAGATCAGATGGGAATTGTGTAAAGCTGCTGGAGAAAAGGAGAATTCTAAAGAGAGGTAAGGTGTTGTGGCACTCGGGACCTGCATTGATAGAATTAAGGAGAAAGATACAAAACAAACAAACAAACAAACAAACAAACAAACAAAAGAAACAATGCCTTAGAGAACATTTGAATCTTCAATGCTATTTTGTTCTCTGACCCTGCTGACATTGATGAAGTGTTCGGTGTCTCATGTTCCATACTTTTAGTGATGAAGTGAGACACTGAAGTGGTTGTGTTATCCTTGATCTTACTTGTCCTGTATCATCAGAAGCTGCTGACCTGACTTTATTATAATCTACTTCCTTTTCAGCTAACCACAACTATATTAATAGTTCTGGAACTGCCTCAGGGAAGCCAAGAAAGTGGCCCAGCTGTGCATGCATTCCCTGTGGAACCCAACTATGCTGGAGCAGAGACTCTTGAACAGAAGATAGCACCAAATCCTCAGAGTTATTCTCCCACTATTTTTATTAATGGCCCATGAAAAGGGAAAGAAAACATGATTTCCTTAGTAGAATTTGTCTCACGATAAAACTATTTTCAGTGGGGGTGTATTTGTTGGTCAAAAATACTTTACAGATCTGTTTCTCACACTAAATTCTTTCAAATTTGTAATCACATTGGCTTTACATAATAATTTTTTACATGGTTGCACATACATAATTCCTGATTTCCAATGAGAAAATATTATGCAGTAAAGACTGCTTTTAATGCTACAGTTTTTGGAATTACAATATTAAGGGTCACAAAACAGTTCATTAATTTCATGTTTTATACTTCATTTAGCCATTTTCCAGTTCTTAAATATATGTCTTATTTTTATTGTTATACTGATTAGGAAAAGATATGAAGAAGATCAATTCTTTATGAAAATATGATAGGAATGTATCAGAAATATAGAAAAAAGAAAGACAAAACTACACATATCTATTGCTCTGAACACTACCCTGCAAAGAAGTTTTAAGATCTCTTATTCCACCACCATGCACATGGAATTTTTTCACATTCCTGCATTTACTCATTAAATCAGCTCTTTCATTCATTAAATCAACTATTTTTAGCACTAGGTAATAGGGGAATATTCTAAATGGCAGTGTAATAAACAAAGCAGACAAAGCCCTTGATGTGAAAAACATCTGTTGAAGGGGAAGAAATCAACAATAAAAAAATTCAAAATAATATTTCAGGGGGTGCCTGTGTGGCTTAATCACTTATCTGCCAACTCTGGATTTCAACTCAGGTCATGATCTTACAGTTGTGAGATCGAGCCCTGCATCCAGCTCTGCACTGACAGGGGGTAGTCTGCTTGGCATTTTCTCTCTCCCTTTCTCTCTGCCCCTCCCCAGCTTATGTATACACACACACACACACACACACACACACACACACACACACATATGCACACTCTTTCACTCTCTCTCAAAATAAACTTAAAAATGAAATTTGAGATCAATTAAAGGTAGAATAAATAAAGCTGTCTGTTGAAATGAATGTAGAAGGTAGGAAAAAGGGAATCAGTGGAGATACTTCATATTATCTACCCCCTTACATATCTTCCCATTTTCTCCTGATCTGTAGGGCCCCTATTTCTTGTTCTGCCTTTACCTTCTACATATTTATAGTCTTTCCTTCTATGACCACATTTATTCCTATGACCACAAATAATATGTGCTGATAATTTCCAAGTGCATATCACCATCCCTGCCCTATATTTCTTTACTCATACAACTTGACATCTCCATATAGTATGTAATATGAATTTCAACTTAATACTTCTAAATCAGAATTCTTGAACTCCAATCTCCGCAATCTTGTTCTTCCTCTAGTCTTCCCTTTCTCAGGAAGCTGCATAAAAATATGCCTAAATGCACAAGAGAAGAATGTAGGATTCAGGCATGTTTGTAAATAATCTAGGGGAGGTTTTTTTGATAGATAAACCACACATAATATTTACTGAAACATAATGAAATGATATAGAAAAATTCTGGAAGATGTAGTTCAAGGAAGATGAAACACATAGTTGTTTTATTATCAATGTTGTGTTCATATTTTTGAAGGAGGTCATCAAGAGAACTTATGGGCTGGTTAACCCACAAGCTAGACCCAGGCAATTTCTGGCTTCTCACCCACTCCACTGTCTTTGGAATATACATTCTGCCCACCATTTCTGACTAGGACCTGTTCCAAGGACACAGCCTTGAGAGAGTAACATGTTGCTGAGACCGCCTGGAGGCTATACATGACCAAATTCCATGAGGGCCTCTATATAAACTTTTAAGATTCTGGTGGGCTGGTGTAGGGAGTTACTCATCTTGTGGCCACCCAAGATAAGCCTCATAAGCAAGTTCCCTTGCTTATTAAACCTGCCACTTATCTGTCTAGAGTGGTCTGCCTCTTTCTTTTTTTCCTGCCCTCAATGTATGGAGCCAGTTTGTGACACACAAGTTGATGGCCAGCCAGAAGATGGAGAAAATGGGTCCCAGATCATGTATCCTTGGGAACAAATAAACTATGGTAATATTGATCCCAAAAGCTTCTTATTTCTGATATATTGTGGATTTCACTTGAGTATTTTCCTGTCAGACTGCCCTCCATCCTTTAAAATGCAGGTGGAGGAATATCTGTTTTGATAGTTACTGTATCACTAAAATCGCTTTGGAAGGCAATTTGGCTGCTCTTACAAAAGTAAATATAATCTTACCATACGTGCCAGTGATGACACTCCTTTGTATTGGCCTAGATGAGGTGAAAACTTATTTTACACACAAAAACTGGTACCAACATATTTATAGAAGCTTTACTTATAATGACCAAAACTTGAAGGCAACCAAGATGTCCTTCAATAGGTTAATGCATAAACTGTAGCACTTCCATACAATGGAATATTATTCACCAGTAAAAATAAATGAGTTATTAAGCCACAAAAAGGCACAGAGGAAATTAAATGCTTATTGCTAAGGGAAAGAACCCAATCTGAAAGGGCACCAATACTGCATGTTTCCAACTATATGACAGTGTGAAAAAAATAAAACTATAGAGACCGATCAGTGGTTGTCAAAGGGCTTGGAAGGAAGGATGGGTAAACATGTAGAATACAAGGGATTTGTAGAGCAGTGAAACTGTGGTGTACGATGCCGTAACAGGGGATACATGTCATCATTTGACAAACGGTCAAAGCCATAAAATGTACACCTTAAGGAGTGAGGTCTCATGTAACTATTGTTTTTAACTAACAAAAATGTGGCAATATTGGCTTATAAGTTTTAACTGTTGGATCACACTTATGTGATGTGTTAATAACAGGAGAAACCAGGTGGGTTGTAGTGAAAAGATTATGTGTGGACTCTGTACTTTCTGATTAATTTTTCTATAAACTTAAAACTGCTTTATAAGTAATATATATATATATATATAATATGTAATTATATATATATTTAAATCTTCAATGTTTAAAATATTTCAATCATTTTGAATATTTCAAACATTCAAATATTCTGACGTGCTTTTCCTTTGGAATAACCTCAAAATATCTCACTAAAGGAGATTGAGCCATGTAGGGACATGTATTAAAATAGCCTCAATAGTTGGTCTTTATCAAAAAAGATATCCTTATTCCAGAATAGTCAGGCAATAGTATCCCTCAAGGACTACATACTGAACTAGCAAAAAAGTGCAGAGATGTTGCTCAGGTACTTGGTTTGAGATGGAAAATTACACAATGCATTTCAAAATTGGGAAATATAACCTCACAAGTGTGAAAGGTTGGTTTAATCAGCTACTCCATATACAAACTATGGGTCCCAGGTGCAAAAACAATCACGCATCAGGTAAAATACCCAAAAGACTTCTTGGCCCCGAGGTGATTTCAATTGTTGTTATAGATATCTATGTAAAATGCAGGTGGTATATATATGTATACACATGTTCTCTGAATCTATATAAGCTAGACTTGACGTTTTTAGTTAAGACTTAAGAATACCACTGTGGACAGTGCTAAGAGGAAATTCAAGATCTGCATTTTTATGTTCCCAATGATTTAGAAAACTCATGCATCTAAAAGGTAAGTTAGCATAGTTTAGTGGTTAATACTGTGGGTGCTGCAATTAGATCCCTGATTTTGAAACAGGATTTACATACTCCTTAGTGATGTGAACTTGGGAAAGTCCTTGAGTACCTGAGTTCCCTTCTGTGTAAAATTAGGTACTAACAATAGTTATTCATATAGTAGTTGTTACCATTAAAATGGATAATCTATGTAAAGTGATTAGAATGAGTTTTAAGAAAATGCTTAGCACATGGTAAGCATTAATACATCTATATAATTATTATTTTTACCATTACTGCCATAATGCCCATCCCTGTGCTGAAATGTGATATGTCTTCTATTTAAATATGCTGACATTTTTTGTGTGACTGCTACATGGCAAAGCCAGGCACTGCTGGGAAACAACCAGATAAAAGAAGCAAAGCCTCAATCTTACCAGGCTAATTAAAGTTGTTATACCTCCAAAACAACCATTCAAAAACTCTCTCTTGGACTTGCATTAAAAACCATTTCATCTCTTCTATGTGTTTGCCTTTTGATGAAAAATTTTGTCTTTTCTTCATCATCTCAATAGAGAAAGAGAGAGAGAGGAAGAGAGAGAGAGAGTGAAGACAGTGTGAAGGACAATAGAATAAATATGTATTAATTCATGTGATAATGTGTCCTACTTCTTTGTTAAGGGTTGGGATAATCTGAAAAGGGTTTCAATTAACAATTAAAGGGATGACAGACATCTTGCACTACAGTGTACTTTTCCATCCTCGTGGTGGTGTAACGTGAAAAGTGGATCCTTTGCAGATTCTAGATTCTGGTGGTTCTTTTTAGTGAAAACAGCATTTATTATCCATCTTTTTGAAACCTGTCATGATTTGCAGTCAAAAAGTGTTTATAAACAAACTTGGTGCCTTTACCAAAAGTATTGCATTTGATTACAAACTTGACTAATTGAATTTGTGTTTTATAAGCCCTGGGAAAAGATATTTGAGGTGTTTTTTTTTTTTTTACAAAAGCTATTTTTATTCAAAATTTTTTTGATATGTGAAAAGTAAGAACTGCTGCTACTTTAAAAAGTTGCTAAAATGTGGGGGCGCCTGAGTGGCTCAGTCAGTTGTACATCTGACTTCGGCTCAGGTCATGATCTCCTGGTTTGTGGATTCAACCCGTGTGTCAGGCTCTCTGCTGACAGCTCAGAGCCTGGAGCCTGCCTCGGATTCTGTGCTTCCCTCTCTCTCTCTCTCTGCCCCTCCCCCATTCTCGCTTGCTCTCTCTCTCTCTCTCTCTCAAAAACAAGTAAACATTAAATATTTTTTAAAGTTGCTAAAATGTGATCTTATTCTTTTGTTTGTGAATGTGAACATTTTAGTCACTCTGCGGTTGGGTCTTTCAATAATAGGAATTGAATAATCATGGGCCTTGACATCTTCAGTGACTGTCTTGTTCTGAATGAGAACATTCTGTACTCTGGAGTTTCATTTGTCTTCGTCTTCCTTGACTCCATTTCATGATCCTTGAATGTTTGTGCTTGTTAGGGTCTGAATAACACTACAACTTTAGCAAAGCAGTTTAAATTTCATGGTAATTAAACTATTGTCTTCAAGAGTTGAAATGAGAGGCAGAATAAAACATTTTCTTTACTGTAGAAAAAGTAAGCCAAGGAAACATCACTCACACCATCAGGATGGAAAATAAGAACTGGAATCTTCATGCTGACTCATTATGTATTAGTTGACCATCCAACCCACGTCCTCCCGTTAACTTTGTCAAACAATGGAATATTAACTCTCTCCAGTCTTCTATTCAGTGTTACATAGAAAAAATAAATACAAATTACTTTTTTGTATTTAATAAATTATTATCAAGTTAGAAAGGCAAAAACTATATACATAGCACAGTTGAAAGTTCAAAAGACATATACCTAAATCATGTGTTTGTAACAATTAAGTTTACAAAAATAAAGGTTTACCACTTATTCTGATTCATATTTTTTTTTCAGAGAGAACAAGATGCCCCATAAAAGGGAAGTGATTTGCCCATAATCATTCAGGTTTGGGGGGGGTGTTTTTTTTGTTTGTTTGTTGTGTTTGTGTGTGTTTAGTAAGATGTAAGCCCAAAGTGGGACTTGAACTCAGGCTCAAGACCTCAAGATCAAAAGTCACATGCTCTATTGCCTGAGCCAGCCAGGCACCCTCATTCAGATTTTTAATAATTTTTTTCAGATGATTTTATTCTGTTTCTACTTCCTTATCCCAGAATTAATGGTTAGATCTTAACTAGGATGAAGGAATGTGTTTTCTATTAATATTTACTGCAGCTATTTTCTCTCTAATTTTCATGTAACAGACTTGGGCCACCTGTCTACAAGAATATCCAATTCTACATCCACTCACCTCACTGCCTTTCTGCTGACTGGAGTCCCAGGATTAGAAGACTTCCAAATCTGGATCTCCATCCCCTTCAGCTTCATGTACCTTTTGGCTGTGATAGGCAATGGCTTGGTTATGGCAGTGGTGGTTGGGGACAGGAACCTCCATGAACCCATGTATCTCTTCCTGGCCATGCTGGCACTCAATGATGTTCTCCTTTGTACTGTGACAGTGCCCCAAATGCTTCTTATCTTCTGGAAGGGTCCTTCCCCATTAACATTCCCTGCATGTCTCACACAGATGTTTTTTGTTCATGCTCTGTTCCTCTCTGAATCTGCTGTTCTCTTGGCCATGGCTTTTGATCGCTACGTGGCTATCTGTACACCACTCCATTATGCAACCTTTCTTACAGGTTCTCTCATTAGCAAGGTGGGTCTGGCTCTGGTGACTCGGAGTGTGGCTGTGGTCACTCCTGGTGTCCTCCTCATTCTCCGGCTACGCTTTTGCCGGGAAAACATCATCCACCATACCTACTGTGAGAACATGGGCATTGCCAAGTTGGCCTGCAATAGCATTGCCCTCAATAGCATTTATGGGCTCACTGCTGCTCTCCTCACCACAGGGCTAGACTTTTGCCTCATCTCCCTGTCCTACTGGCTAATCCTGAGAACGGTCTTCCAACTACCTTCTAGGGAAGCCCGGACAAAAGCCTTTGCAACATGTGGAGCTCATATATGTGTCATCTTGATATTTTATACTCTGGCCTTCTTTTCCTTCTTTACCCATCGCTTTGGAGATCATGTACCCAAGCATGTCCTTATCCTCCTGGCAAACCTCTACTTACTGGTGCCACCCACTATGAACCCCATTGTTTATGGAGTAAAGACAAAGGAGATAAGAATGCATGTACTAGGGCTCTGTAACAAACCAAAATGACTCAAAGGTTATGAAGCAACAAGGAATAGGTAAGTCCAGGATGGGGATCAGGCTTAAATGTCAAGTCTGAATCAACCTGGGCAGATCCATTCCCAAAACACTTAACCTCTGAATAGAGCTTAAAATAGTCACATTTCTAAATGCTGTCTTCCCGACCTAGGGTAAAAAGGAAGCTAATAGGGAACTGCTTCAGTACCATCAAGGAATATCTCAACATAATGAGGTAAAAATCTGTGGAATGTCACTGTAAGCACAGGGGACTTAAATATCCTTTTTAAATACACAATTCCTCCTTTATGTCAATTTGCTATGGACAGGACAAAATGTAAACTCTGTAAGTCATGGCTTAGTTCAGATTCCAGCTTCATCATTACATCCACAGAACCTAGAATATAAAAAAATGTAATAAATATTGTTAAATAGGTAAATGCATTACCTAGTCAAAAGCCAAATGCTAATAATTTTATGTAACAAACTCCCTACTATGTCCTTATGTATTAAATAAGACCTATACTTTAAATACTTCTTTCCTTTCTTCTTAAAAAACTTTCCCTTATCTTTCAGAAAATGTTGCTATCTCCTTTAATACCTTGGTGTAATAAAGATTATTTTGGTTACACACAAATGAAAGTTACTTTGGTTAGATTAAGTAAACAGAAAAACATTATGAGGCATGGCATACATTCAAGCAATTTAAATATCTGTGACTCAGGAAGGACACAGCCAGGCTAATTGCCCCATATTGGGTCATATTGTTAAAACTGCATCAATCTGTTACAGCACTTAATATTCTGATTAACAGGGTTGAAATTGTGCCAGGGAAATTCTCAAAAAAGATAAATCGTGGCAAATGGTCAAGATTATGTTCACTGGATTCATTTGGCTCTTTTATATAAGCACCTGCAATTTTTCTAGTTTATTGGTTTTTGCACACCAAACATTCCTACTAATTTCATTCTGTAGTAGCTGGGACAAACTATCATCTATAAATCTCTCTGTCATAATTCCTGCGTGTAATCCCTTTTCTCCTCTAGAGAATATTCACCTGTCAATTAATAAAAGACCTAAAATCTACCTCTGGCATAAGAGAATAAAAAATTGCATCATGAGCATAATAAATGGTCTAGTGGTTGAATTAATTGAATGGAGTGTCTTGAAAATATTTATATTGTTATCATTCTCTTTACAAATGCATATGGCTGTTTCTAGATTCTATGTGTAACCAGGTAATTATGATAATACACATTTTCTAAGGAAATTATGCTCTTATTATTTAAGATATCAGATTGAATAACTGAATGGCTAAGTGGGATAATGAAGTATTTTGCAGCGCAATGCTTTGTATAGAAGAAAATGCCAGATACTTAGATGACAAAAGGGATAGTGATCTTCTCTACTATTTTTTTCTTGCCATTGTGTTTTGCCACCAAGAGCCTTCTGCAGCATCAAGATGATTAATGTATAACTTATAAGATAACATTTGACATTACAAAAATAATTGCATTGCATATTTGCCTGATGATAGGGGATTCTAATACACAAATGAATTTTTTATTTTGGCTTCTGGTTATCTTACAGATTCTGCAAGAAGGCAGAGAATGCTTTCAAAAGGCAAATAACCACTCAAGACTTTGTCAAACAAGGTAATATGAGTAATAGTGTATCCTAATTTATAAATCCACGTACAAGTGAGAAAGATGCTTTAGTCGTATTGGTGCAATTCTAGGCAGGAACAAGAGACCTTCTTGTTTTTGGAGCACCAGATGCTTGCCAGAAGACTAAACTCCTGCCTTCATTAAGGTTCCAAACTAGGATAATGCTTCTGTTCTCAACTCCTAATACAACCTTGTTCACTCATTCATTCATTGTTATATTCACTTATCTCCCTACCAACTGTATTTTACTGAGAAGAAATATTTTAATTTTGAATATATCTGGTTTCTAAATGTTTAGAGTAAAATATATTTTATGAATATAATGTAATACTAATAATAAATTTAAGAAGTGAGTATAGTAAATAATAATTTGTAAACTCAAAATTTAGATTATCTATGTAGGTGTTCATTTAAAATAGTTTTATTGGCATGTAAAATGCAAAATCTAGTATGCAATAGTTTAAACATATTTCCGTTAGCAAATAAAAACTAGTAAGACTTCGTTTCTTAGAGCACAAAGACTAGGAAAGGTCAAAATATATTTTGAATTTGAAGTTCTAATTTTAAAGATGATTAGCAATAGTTAAATGTTACATATACAATGTGTGGCTGATGGTAATGTTCATTCTAAAAATTTTAATTTTTCCCATCAATTTGATTTAATTATTTATTACAGCAAATATTATCTAATTTTGATGTTTACATAGCTTTATTTTTAGTTGACATTTTTTATTCAAGGTGAATATGCTAAAAGGACAGGGGGCAGTTGGCAATTAGAATCAAGAAATAGGATAAAAGGGAAAACAGACATAGTTGAGTGAAAACCAGGGAGCAGAAATAAATTGTAGATGTGCTCCATATGACTGAAATTTGAAACACTAATTTTAAGTTAGTAAGATCTCTTTTACTACATGACATGGGGGTTCATGACATGTCAAATCTTTTCCTCTATTTTCTTTAATATCCAAAGTATCCTTTATTCAGTGATTGATTCATTTATTTAATCATTTACATTCAATAAAGACTTGGTGTCACTTTTATACCAAGCATATATTCATCTTTACAAGTAGCAAACTCTTCAAAGCACAATTGCTATACTAGGTAGAACCAGATAGGTAAAAATAGATTATTATTAAGACTTCCACAAATACACGAATACTGGGAACTATAACACATTTTTTAAAATCTTATTTGTACCCTTTGCTTACTGTTTGCCTTTGCACAAGTATTGCCAGACAAACTAGAAAATTCAATTACATTTGCAAGTTTTCTATACAACCCTATGCACAGCCATTTGTTAGCTAATTTCAGAATTATAAGGAAAGATAGTTTTGTATATTGAAAGTAGTTCTAGATAAAATTAAGAGACCCGAATCTGTAGCTGTTTCCTGCTACCACAAATTTATAGGTAGCTACACCTAGTGAGTTATATTGTTACATAAGTGAAATACCTCATAGCCAGGAATACCAAGGATAGTACTTTTTTACATTTATTTTTAAAAAAATTTTTTAATGTTTATTCATTATTTTTGAGAGAGAAAGAGAGAGAGAAAGAGAGAGAGAGAGTGAGCAGGGGAGGGGCAGAGAGAAAGACACAAAATTTGAAGCAGGCTCTGTCAGCACAGAGCTGGATGTGGGGCTCGAACCCACAGACCTTGAGATCATGACCTGAGCTGAAGTCAGACACTCAACCGACTGAGCCACCCAGGCACCCCAGTACTTTTTCACACTTAAAGAAATAGTATGTCCTAAATTATTATTAAGATACATTTTACTCAATGGATTATAATCATTGACATCATATCACGGTATCTGGGGTATTTCAAAAATTACTGAGTCTCAAATTTTTATAAAATTAAAATTATTTCCAAAAATTAAGAGAATAAAAAAATATGCAGTTGGCCTTTTCTATTCTTGAGCAAACTAAATTTCTTAGTAGGGCAGACATGTGTATAAAGTTTAAAATATGATGCTGATTCACAATAAGGATTGATAAGTTCTGCTTTGAACCCTAATATGCTCTTATATCAAGATAAAATGTTTTCCATCTTGAAGAAGGAAAGAATAGCAGATATACAAACACATTGTTATAACAAGAAGGGCAATATAAGATTTCCAAACAACTACAGAGTATCAAGAAGCAAAGAAACATGAGTTTTATTTATTTATTTATTTATTTATTTATTTATTTATTTTCTGTGAGAGAAAGGGAGAGAGAGCAGAGGAGGAGCAGAGATAGAAGGAGAGAGAGAGAAAACATAGAAGGCTCCATGCTGCCAGCGCAGAGCGCAATATGGGGCTCAATCTCACAAACTGAAGATCATGACCTGAGCCTAAAACAACAGTCAGAAGCTTAACCGACTGAGCCACACAGGCACCCCTGGTTTTAATATATTTAATGAAAACTTAATGGGTAAGTTTTCATGGAGGGTTGGGATTAGAAATGGAAGGGAATAGATGGAAATGATTTCTAAAACACTCAACACCTACATATACTGATATTTAAAGGTAATTTATGAAGCACATGTTAAGTTGTATAGTCCCAAGGACCCCAGCTCTCTCCTTTAAGCACTTCTCCTGATACTCTGTGGATTCTATATCTCATCTTTCTATTTTGTTCACAACTGTGATGCCAGCATACCTAGTGTGGACAAATAAGTATATGTTTACATCATTTAGATTGATGTCATCAATGTCGAAGGTCATGCCTTAAGA